CCTTGTGATACCGCCAGTTAGAGAACAGCGATTTATCGACCGGCGCAACGACGCATAAAACCCGTACGAGCAGTCTGGAGTCTTTACCGGTCCTGCTTCAAGCCTAGCCCTGTCTGTTGAGTCCATAATATCAATCTCAGCCTTCGCGATATAAATCATTTATTTCAAACAGACTGGGTTCATAAACCAACCAAACAGACCACATCGTGCCATAATATAGAAAATAACATTTGTACATGATATAGCCAAAAGTGGCTGTGAATGTGGGAGACGGTAATTACTAAACTGGGCATAACTCAAGAATGGTAAATCGTAAGTCAAAATAAAGCTTTTAATAAGAGGAACACGAATATGCATAGTTTAGTTACTTAACGATTATACGAAATCAGATCTAGGTTAAGAAAAAGTCTAAGAAACGACCGTGAGCAGTGGTGGGCAATGAAAGCAAAAGAGATGGAAAAGGCGGCGACTATAGGGAACACAAGACAACTTTACAGACTAATAAAACAAACTGGAATTAATAAGTCAAGTGTAAGTGAGATTATATCGGAAAAAGACGATGCTCTCATCTGCTCCCAGTCCAGACGTTTAGAACGATGGGCGGAACATTTTAGAGAACAGTTCAGCTGGCCTTCAGCTACTCTACAACTACCCTCCATTCCTAGACAGTGTGAATGGAACATTGAAGTAGGTCCCCCAACTCTTGCTGAAGTTCAAAAGGCTATAGTTAATCTGAAACGAGGAAGGGCAGCTGGTCCAGATGGATTGGCTCCAGAGGTCTTTAAGGATGGTGGTCCAATTTTAGCGATTAGGTTGACTAATATTTTAGCTAGGATCTGGGAGTTAGACGTTACCCCATCTAACTGGTCACAATCACTTATCGTCCCAATATATAAGAAAGGGTCAAAATCATCCTGTGACAACCACAGAGGGATTAGTTTAACTAATATAGTATCTAAAATACTAGCTTCGATAATTATCAGACGCCTAACTAAGACTCGTGAACTGCAAACACGAGAGACTCAAGCTGGCTTCAGACCTGGTCGTGGTTGCATCGACCACATATTCACCGTTCGTCAGATTTTAGAACACAGGCATGCTTATCGACGTCCGACAATGGTGGTCTTTCTCGACTTAAAAGCAGCATTTGACTCGGTAGACCGCGAGATTCTATGGCAGTGTCTGTCATTGAAAGGCGTACCACAGAAGTACATAAACCTTGTGAAAGCTCTTTACTCGAACACTACTAGTCTAGTCAGGGCTTATGGCGAACTGTCATCTACTTTTGCAACCTCAAGTGGTGTCCGTCAAGGCTGTCCACTTTCCCCATTTTTGTTTAACTTCATCATAGATCTACTGATGGAAATAACTTTCTCGTCGACTGAATTCTCGGGTATTGATCTCCATCCAGGAGGTCCACTTATCGATTTAGAATACGCAGATGACATAGTCCTGTTTGGTGAAGACGCTGACTAAATGCAGAGTCTTCTGGTAGCACTAAGCAACAATGCCAGAATGTTTGGAATGCGCTTCTCTCCCTCGAAATGCAAGTTGTTGCTTCAGGACTGGTCTGCGTCAACACCTGAACTAAGGATAGGGAGTGAAGTAGTCGAACCCGTCGACAACTTCACTTATCTTGGAAGTTTAATCAGCCCTAATGGGTTGGTGTCTGATGAAATCTCAGCACGGATTCGAAAAGCTCGTTTGGCTTTTGCCAACTTGCGTCACCTTTGGCGAAGGCGAGATATCCGTCTATCAATAAAAGGATGAGTATACTGCGCGGCAGTCCGTTCTGTTTTACTTTACGGTAGCGAAACATGACCATTAAGAGTAGAAGACACTCGTAAGCTATTAGTATTTGACCACAGATACCTCAGAAATATTGCTGGCATCTGCTGGGATCACCGGGTAAGTAATAGTGAGGTTAAACGCAGGGTATTAGGGAATGATGGTAAATCAGTTGATGAGGTTATGAATCTTCATCGACTGAGATGGTTGGGCCACGTGTTACGTATGCCTGAACACCGACTACCACGACGTGCAATGCTAACCGGTGTTAGGGATGGTTGGAAGAAAGTTAGGGGCGGCCAAACCAAAACGTGGCATCAGTGCTTGAAGACACTAACTTCTAGTCTGAGCCATGTTGGTAGATGCAGACTACTTGGTTGGGGTCCGCGTGACTATCGTAACCAATGGTTGGAGACTGTGCGTGACATGGTACAAAATCGATCACAATGGCGTAGGTGTATATACTCCCTATCTTCCCTTAAACTAAGAGATTAAAATTGCTTCATATCTTTCCTTCTACGAACCAATTCTTTCTTCTTGTACTATATCTCTATATGCAATCTTTCTCATATATATTACCACCTTTGACCTAACCACTGCTGTGAATCCGGTGTTCATCTTGTTGTACTGATGCGGTATGGCAACCTGGACCGATGCACATATGTGCCTGGTCCTACTTTGTAGCTGACTGACTGACTAACGATTATACGATAAAAATATACGTATAGTATAGATCTCAACAGTTACCATTGATTATTCTCATCGGGATATAACAGTATTTATAAATAGAGCAAGAACAAAGATTGGTGCAGAATAATATGAATTCATTTTATTTCGTTAGGTTCTCATCAGCTGCTTACAACCTAAATTATTTGAAAATTCAACATTAATACAGATATTGACATATTTATACATAAGTGTGATTAGGGATCAATACATGTGTATGATGATGTAGCGAAGAGTGTTCATTGTTGTTAAATAAATGGGTCAGCAAATCTATGGAAAGTTGAGATTAGTGAACACAGCATCAAAAGTCAACTTTCGATATAACATACAGAGAAACAATGATGTTTCCACATTTACGTGCTTCCGTTTACTAAGCACAGAAGAGGTAATATCTATTGAAGATTGCAAACCGGAAAACTTAAACATAAGAAAAGTCTTTTTTTTAATTGTCAGTTCTACCTAACACACGCTTCCAAAAATCGTGATTTACTTTGCTGATAAATACAGTCATTTGTACTTTTATTGTTATTGATACTACCGATTGTTTATTTACGATACTTCTAAATGTATAAAAATATTCTTAGCCTCCCTTTCTTTACCATGTAACATAAACAATTCTTCATAAAACGAACTAGATGACTGCATAAATATTGTTAAATGTAATTGTAAAGCTAATACGAAAAATGTTTTGTTGAAAATGTTCATCAAATAATTTTTTTCCGTTTCGCTTGACTAGTAGTTTCCAAAACAATGGATCGTTCAAATTATTACTCTATATCATGTGCAAGGGATTTTTTAGTAGAGGGAGTTATGTAGGAAAAATTAGAATACATATGTTGACAAAGAATTTACATATTTTAGTTAGACTCTTAAGCTTAACGGTTGGGATTCAGTGGAAAAATTAGAAGTCAATGGTGAAGCTAGAGAAGTAAATATTTCATTCGAAAGAAAAATTGAGGGTAAATTTCAATTTTTGACGGAAACCAGAAAAGAATGGAGGACTTTAAGGTGAAATCTTACTGTGTTATTGCTATTAAATTATTAACCGAGTGTTTCTGAATCATTTATTCCAATACTGAGAAACATTTTCCACTTTGATAACATCACCCTCAGCTGTTCTAAATAAGCTTCAATAGGTAGGAGAGCTCAAATGCCTCCATCTATTTGAGTTATCTTATTGGGAAAGTTTTATAAGGTAGTTCTAGACTAATTACTAGTCTCTTGCAAGCATTTTAACCTTAACCGTTAAGAAGTAATGAAAATAAGATTTTAGAGTCCATTATTGTGTTTCAGTAGTTTTGTAATCTAGTTATCCACATGGCACGAACAGAATTAACCACCGTATAGGGGAAGTCGTGACAACTTCAAGTATGTTTCTAAACATTCTTTACGCTCCAAATAATCAGACCACAGAAAAAACATACTTGCGTTCATGATATATACATACTACGAAATGGCGCACGACCACCAAGAACATTTCAATATTCTAATCTAACCGACATGCTGACTGGTATCTGGTCGATGTTAGCTGAGTGGAACCAGAAAGTGTCCGACTGCTACATGATGATATCACATTACATATAGCGATAATTTTACGCATTCTTCAGGATAACTTTCAATTCTAAGCGAACAAAGCTTAATAATAATTTACTTAAAACTGATAAGTAGTACATAGACCTAAAGTAAAACAGACCCTCAATAAAAATAAGTAACAAAGTGATGAAAAAATAACAGGGTCTCCGGTACTTCGAAGAAATTAAGGTATTTAGCCCAGATGAACCATATGCACAAACTTCGAATCATTAGTTTAAATGATTAACTGATGCTAGTAACCAAAATAAACATTCACTTTGTTCCGCTCACTGTAGATTGTAGCTATAAATAGATGAAATCCACCAAAACTAATTTTGCCGTTACAAATCTAAACTCAACATATTAATATATCTTTATTTCTAGAACTTTGCTTCGTCCACTGGACAGTTCCATACATTATCATTATATATAATATTTTCGCAATTTTTATAATTTAAAAGAATTCTGTTACCAACCAATTGAAGTGGACAGTTTATAATGTCTATCGACTACAAGACGGATAACTTGGAATAATAACAATCAGGATACGAACTGTAATTTGAGTCTGCTCTAACTAAGGAATTATTGTAAGGAAAGCATAATCTAATTTCTTTGAATGATTACATCTAAAAATAGATGAGAAGCAGAAAAAAATGTCGATATTAATTATTGTTTAATAGAATCTGATACACCGTCTTTATACTTTGTGAAACACAATATATTAAAATCTGCATGAACAGATAGGACTAATCAATAAACACACTGGAGAAATGTTTAAAACTTGGTTATTCATCGAAAAACAATCGTGTATGGTCATTAAATTCGTATTCGTCCAACATGATCGTGAAACTCGCTGTTTATGAGAGCTTACAAGAAAACTTTTATGTGGGAAAAAATGGTTTCGTAGAAGCGGTTCATGATATATTACTTTGGCGAATCTTTATCGTGAAGAAATTCTTTGGGAAACTACTGTGTGTAGGAATTACAATGAAATGAAGAGCACTGTAAAAGTAAAAAACACAAAATTGTTTTGCATAAGAAAAAGTCATACGATGTGTGAATTATTACTAGTTCAAAGTATGAAATCGGGAAATAGGGTTGAAACGCTTGATATATACTTAGAAGTAAATAGATTTCAAGAAACAAAAATAACTTCGGGCATATGTACTGGTCGATGTAGCTCTTGTAAGAATTCGATGTCACTCAAGGGAGGGGTATTGAATTCCTGAATGAATAGAAGATTTCCTTCATGGAGAAAAAGTTACTTACGAGCACTGGAGCTCCAGATGGTAAACTTGTCTAGTATATCACGTGTACAAACACAAAAACTTAGTAAATATAATAAATAAAATGAAAGCAATCATAAGTTATCATATCTACGAAAGAAATATTTTGAAGGACTAACCTGGATTGTACATTATTCCAATTCTTCCTCACAAAAATCAGGAGTTGAAAGAGGGGTGATTGATTTTCTGCGGATCAAAACCGGTACTTGTTTTGGTTTAACTTTGGGAGAGGCGGATATTGTGAGCCGATTGTTGGCAGAAAGTCTTGCTTTCCAGGTAGTTGGCGCAGATGAATTGCTTGTTAAATCAATAGCACTATTTTGAGTAGAGGCTTGTGCCTCAGTCGTTGCAACAGTTTTTAATGGTTCATCTGATTTTAACTTCTTGTCAGGAATTTCTGACCTCAAGAACTGGATAACATCATCACATGCGTTTAAATTAACGGGTTCTACCGGAATAATTTCATTGCCTATGCACAAAAAAGAAAATACTACATTGATAATTTACAAGAACCCACAAAAATGCATATCGTTTAATGTCTAAAGACAAATTACAGGTTTATGGGAACAAGTTGTAAGTGGTTAAATATTTCTGAAGTTTCAATCCTACCTACAACAAAAATTCAGCGAATAAATTAACTGGCATGGATGTAAACAACTCACATTAAATACAATATATTTCAATAATAAAACGTTGGCTTTTAGTAAAAAGAAAAAAAGCTTGATTATGTTGCAAAAGAACTCCGCTTGGAGTCCCTCCGGGAGCTACTGCCGGTTCCAAGCCCGGATAAAGGAGGAGGGTCGGGCATGGGGTTAGCGACCCCATCCTGTAGAAAACTAACTCGCTAAAAAACGATAACCAGGAAAAGTTATTCAAACCTTTTAAACTCTGCCCTGGGAGTCAGTGTTTTCATTTAGAAGAGTTATGACGCCTCATAATGAAAACCGAGTTCCTTCGGAAGTTACGAGGCCGATGCCCCTTCTAACAACCAGAGCAACCATTTATTTAGGTACATGGAAGGTTCGTACAATGTGGGACACCGGGAGAGCTTTACAAATTGCTGCAGAAATGAGAAGATTAAGTCTAGAGGTGCTTGGGATCAGTGAAACACATTGGACGCAAGTTGGACAACAACGACTAACTTCAGGAGAGCTCCTGTTATACTCCGGCCATGAAGAAGAAAATGCCCCACATACACAAGGAGTTGCATTGATGCTGTCCAAACAAGCACAAAATGCACGTATAGGATGGGAATCTCATGGACCAGGGATCATTAAAGCCTCATTCAAAACAAAGAAAGAGGGCATTACAATGAACATCATCCAATGCTATGCGCCTACCAACGACCACAATGAAGACGCTAAAGATCAATTCTACAATAGGCTGCAGTCAATCATCGAGAAGTGCCCAACAAAGGACCTGACCATTCTGATGGGAGATTTAAATGCCAAGGTTGGGACGGACAACACTGGATATGAAGACATCATGGGACGACACGGACTGGGAGAAAGGGACGAAAATGGTGAGAGATTTGCAAACCTATGTGCCTCCAATAAACTGGTCATAGGCGGCACGATATTCTCACATAAACGCATACACAAAACCACATGGACTTCAGCGGATCACACTACATAAAATCAAATCGACCATATCTACATCAACAAAAACTTTAGGAGGACGATGGAAGACGTGAGAACCAAGAGAGAAGCTGACATAGCATCAGATCATCACTTGCTGGTCGCCAAGATGAAATTGGAACTCAAGAAGCACTGGACAACTAGGCAGACAATATCACAAAAGTTTAATACATCCTTTCTTCGGGATACTGACAAACTCAACGAATTCAAGATAGTCCTCAGCAATAAGTCCCAGGCCTTTCATGATCTACTCAATGGAGAAGGAACTACTATGGAGAGCAACTGGAAGGGGATCGAAGAAGCAATCACTTCAACATGCCATGAGGTTCTGGGTCACAAGAAGCACCATCACAAGGAATGGGTCACTGTTGATACACTGGATATGATTCAAAAAAGGAGGAACAAGAAAGCGGCAATCAGTACCAGCCGAACAAGAGCAGAAAAAGCCAAGGCACAAGCTGAATACACAAAAGTAAACAAACAAGTGAAGAGGAGCATCAGAACCGACAAACGTAAATATGTGGAAGATCTAGCAATGACGGCGGAAAAGGCTGCAAGAGAAGGAAACATGAGACAACTGTATGACGTAACAAAGAAACTGTCTGGACATCGCCGCAAACCAGAACGACCAGTGAAAATCAAGGAAGGCGAGGTAATCACCAATATTGAAGAAAAACGAAACAGGTGGGTAGAACACTTCAAAGAACTCTTGAATCGACCAGCTCCACTGAACCCACCCAACATCGAAGCAGCACCCACGGACCTCCCAATCAATGTTGGCCCACCAACAATTAAAGAGATAAGCATGGCCATCAGGCAAATCAAGAGTGGCAAAGCAGCAGGACCAGACAACATCCCAGCAGAGGCACTAAAAGCAGACGTAGCGGCAACTGCAAGGATACTCCACATTCTCTTCAATAAGATTTGAGATGAGGAACAAGTACCAACAAACTGGAAAGAAGGACTTCTGATTAAAATACCGAAGGCGATCTCAGCGAGAGTAATAACTACAGGGGCATCACTCTTCTCTCAATACCGGGAAAAGTCTTCAACAGGGTATTGTTAAACAGGATGAAGGACTGCGTAGACGCACAACTTCGTGACCAACAGGCAGGATTCCGTAAGGATAGATCGTGTACAGATTAAATCGCAACTCTACGGATCATTGTGGAACAATCAACTGAATGGAATTCATCACTCTACATCAACTTCATTGACTACGAGAAAGCATTTGATAGCGTGGACAGAACAACACTATGGAAGCATTTTCGACACTACGGCGTGCCTCAGAAGATAGTGAATATCACACAGAATTCCTATGATGGATTAAACTGCAAAATTGTGCATGGAGGACAACTGACAGACTTGTTCGAGGTAAAGACCGGTGTCAGGCAAGGTTGCTTACTCTCACCCTTTCTCTTTGGAAGATGTAGAAACCTGTACATATTTGGGCAGCATCATTGATGAACATGGTGGGTCTGATGCAGATGTGAAGGCGTGGATCGGAAAAGCAGGAGCGGCATATTTACAACTGAAGAACATCTGGATCTCAAAACAACTGTCAACCAACACCAAGGTCAGGATTTTCAATACAAATGTCAAGATAGTTCTACTGTATAAGGCGGAAACTTGGAGAACTACGAAAGCCATCATGTAGAAGATACAACTGTCTACGCAAAATACTTCGGATCCGTTGGTCAGACACCATCAGCAACAACCTACTGTAGTAGAGAACAAACCAGATCCTAGTGGAGGAAGAAATCAGGAAGTGAATAGGACACACATTGAGGAAATCACCCAACCGCGTCACAAGACAAGCCCTCACATGAAATCCTCAAGGCTAAAGGAAAAGAGGAAGATGAAAGAACACACTACACCGAGAAATGGAAATAGACATGAGAAAAATGAACAAGAATTGGATGGAACTAGAAAAGAAGGCCCAGGACAGAGTGGGTTGGAGAATGCTGGTCTGCGGCCTATGCCCCATTGGGAGTAACAAGCGTAAGTAAGTAAGTATGCTGCAAAAGCAATCTGATGGTGAAGTGCTAAAATATCATCACATCCAAGCTGTTGAAAATTCATTGGGAAACTGAACGAATCATTCGCATGAAATATTATCATACAAAACTGAGCAATGATTAAATACCAGTAAGTTTAACAACATGAGTTGGTTATGAAAGTCAATAAAATAAACTGTGTAGAAATGAACTCCAAATATCTACGAAACAGGAAGTTTTTTTATGATTCTTTATTTTCAGGAGAAACAACTAATGTGCTGCATTTCATTTATTTATTTGAACACATAAATATTGGTACAAAGGGGCACCGAATACATATGCGCCACACAAGTCACTTGATTTGTGTGTGGGCTTTATTACCAATTTTGAATTAAGATTTCAATATCTAGTATTAGATGTCTAACTAAAAAATGATTTAGAGGAATATTTGAGTAAATCTGCCAACCATAGGTTAACATCAAAAGACTATTTATACGTACCGACTATAAGACCATTTGAAGAACTGCTTGAATTTTCTGTTTGATTTTGTTCAACATCTAAACTTGTAATATTTTCAAGTGGAATGGAACACTTACCGAGGTTAAAGTCAAAACCACTATCTTGATACTTCTCCCATGGAAGACTGTCAATGTCCTGGAGAGTTGTGGAAGCAAATTGAGGGTCGCTTTCTGAAAAAGGTACGATACAACGGGGTCTGTTCTGAATTTTATGCTGTTTTCTTATCGGCTCCTTCCTGAAAACGACACAAATAACAACCATAAATTTCATGTGCAAGGGCAGTTCTTTAGTGTTGTTAAGTGGAAAACAATTTTACCTCAAAGTGCATCAAAACACGTATAAGGATTCCATACTGACATCAAGAAAAAAACTATTTTGACTTTAAGACAACTTATTTTGATGCACATTTGGACATGGTTCTAAGTTGCTTACAGGTTAAAATTAAAAGATTTACAATTGGTGGAACTATGTTAACCATAAAACTTACGGATGAGTTACTGTGTTGATAGGTTGAAGACTTACGTGTATTTTGAAATGGTAGACTCTGGGAGAGACTGATTGTTACCGACTACTTGTTCGGTTTGTGAGTCACAGTTAAGAAGCAGGTCACAAATACTTTCATCTGTTACACCATCTAACTTTGAAGGTATTACGTCACTCAAGCCAGGAGAATCAGTTAGACAGTAAGGCGTATCTGATCTACTACATGGCCAGTTTAACTCTAAAATAGAATTATTCACATCTGTAACACCGTCTTCCTCAATATTAAGGCCTACAGGAAACTCTTCATCATTTGTGGGATGCATGAAATTATCGTCCACCTTTGGTTTGGAAATAGAAATAAGATTAAATTGTTATAAGTGGAATTTTATAGTTAGAAATGAGAAGGCTAATAGGTGGTAAACAATGACTAGTGAAAAAAATTTGATTTCTTTGAGAAACCAACTCAGAATTTACGGGAAGATAGAGAACAAAACTGAGCTACTTTGGACCATGTAAGCAAATATTTTAAAACACCGACCAGGAATCTTGCACCTTTCAACACTGATCAGATCAACAGCCAACGACCTCACGGGCTGATCTCGTATTATGATTTTCCAATCACTGTATCTTTTCTCAATTTACTCTTACATCAGCAAACATTGAAAGTCGATGTATATGGTATAAAATATAGCTACTCATTCATCAGGTACTTGAATATGAGCCACTGTTAGAGTCAATGATATCCGGTTACTCAGGCCAAGTTAGGTGGAGAGGTGTTTGAACCAGGGACTTAGTGGCTGAAATTCGAACAAGTCAATTACTAAGCCACCTCAGTCGACGAAAATCACTAGTCTCACCAACCAATATGCGATCTTTGCTTAATAATTTATATCTAATCTCAGTACTACTTACTCAGTTATTCCATAAAACGCAAGCAATGCTTTGAAAAGACATATCAAAATCCTGCAGCTTATGGACAACTGTTTCCATAGGCCATGTTTTACAGTCAGTCAGCCACAAGGTAGGACCAGGCACATATCTCCTTCGCTCCAAGTTGCCACACCTCATTAGCACAACAAGATGAACACCGAATTTATAGTAGTTACTTCAATGGTAGTAATACATAAAAGGAAGATTACATATAAGGATTTAATACATGAATGATGAATTAATTGGTAGAAAGAAAGGTATAAAGCAATATCTATCTCACGGTTTATGGGAAGACAGATGATATACACCTACGCCATTGTGATCGATTCTGAGCCATGTCACTCAGTCTCCAACCACTAGTTACGATAGTCGCACGGACCACAACCGAGTAGTCTGTATCTGCCAACATGACTTAGACAAGAATTTAGTGACTTTACGGACTGACATTACGTTTTAGTTTGGCTGCCCCTAACTTCCATTCGTCTCCAACACTAGTCAGCATTATGCGTCATGATAATCGGTTGTTAGGTATGCACAATACCTGACCTAACCATCTCAGTTGATGAAGATTCACAACCTCATCAACTGACTTACCATCATTCCCTAATACCTTGCGTCTGACCTCACTATTACTTACCCGATGATCCCAGCAGACGCGAGGAATATTTCTAAGACATCTGTGATCAAATACTAGTAACTTACGAGTATCCTCTATATTTAATGGCCACAACCATAAATTAAAGCGGAGAGGACTGCTGAGCAATATAATTAACCTTTCGTTGGTAGATGGACATCGTACCTACCCCACGGGTTACCAAAATCGGTGGAAGTTAAGCAAGTTTTCTGAATCTGTATCGGAGTTTGTTAAGCTCCAGCCTACTAAAGTTGAAAAGACACCAAGCGGTAATCGCGCTCCTTTATTTCACTTCCTATGGTCAAACTAGGGATTGACGCACACCAGTCCTGAAGCAACAAGTTACATTTAGAAGGAAAGAAAGGGAATCTGAATAGGACTGGATTGTTACTTAAGGAAAACAAGACAGCCATAGGTACACTCGAAATCGATGCGTACATATCGTTGTAAGATATTAATTCCTAAAAAGTCAGACGAAGAACGAGTTATATTTTGAATACCTATGACAAAGTTACATGAAAATCGGGAAGGTTGGCAGCTTTGACGAACACCGCCTGTTGTTTCCGATCCAGATAACGTTTCTCATGCAAACAATGGCGGTCGATACGTCCCGGTTGACCATAATAAATAGGGATATTCCTTCATAAAGAATTTGGGAAGGAAAAGGGACTAGTGTTGAGGATTTTCAGTAACCTAGAAGCATGATTACAGAACTAAACGAATAGTTGTATGGTCTTGGCCACACGATATTTTGTGGGCATTTTTTGTTGTGCTGATTACTTACTTTTCACATATCACTGCATCTCAGGAATCAGTAGGGGAGAATGAAGTAGTATTTTGAGATCAAACATTTTACAACTTCAAGCAGTAAAGCTGGAGATGCTAACTATCCGTTTAAACCACCTTACAGACGTACAAACAATAAGGCATGAAGAATAACCTACCTTAGACAGATAGTATCTCGGTTCATCTTGAACATTCGCAGGATTTTTATCAACCAAACTTTGCCCATTTACGTCACACTCTTGTGATGAACCAGTTAAAGAGTATACATATTTACCATCATTACCAAGATTCACTGGAGTAAGCTGAAGATTTGAAGGGAGAATATGAACAACTGATCCAATATCTGAAATCTGGTCAGTAATATTTGCACCGGAACTTGTATTGCCTATTTTTGCAGACAAATTTCGTAAGTCGAATTTAGGGCGCTTATGTGGTCCGAGCAAATCACTAGTTTGGACAAGTTGAAGTGGTTGAACAGAGTTTCTTTCAATTTGGAAACCTAAAGGTATGTTTAGGATAATACACCTATCATTAGAAATCACGATATTGTTTCCGTAATGGACAATTTTTGTATCAAGGTTAATAAAATTCTATGTCCAATTTTAATGATTAATTCACAACCAGGTATTAATAATACGTTAATGGACCTTATAATATTAATCCACATGGGTCATGAACATACATGGTCAAATTGCGGAAATTTCACTTGAGGAATTGAATTCCCCGTCGGCTTTCCTATAGGTTTGGATAATCAGTAATAAAGACCAGAATGAACGAACTTTTGACATTAAAACCAGATAACACATTAGTTAAGTTAATTTTTAACGAAAAACTATCATTCCTGATGACCGTAGGCGATTGAGCAGAACTTAGATAATTTTGCATTTGTAACACTATCCTTAAATCATGCTGTTCCTTGTTTGGCACGAGAAGTACACATTTCGACTGAATGTTAGTTTTTACTATATCCGTGAACTGGGTACACAAGACGTACATAAGCTGAAACATATAAATCAGTGGTGATACAGATGACTACTGCCTAGACGATGAAAATAAACTGCTATTGAGGTTCGCGTCATAAATAAATCATCATACAATTTACTATCAGGAATTGATGGGTTTTATTGCATTGAAGGACGCATTATAACAGCCTAAAACTGTCATAACACTAATCAGGACAATGATAGCAGTATTGATAAATCAGCATTTGACTACCAAATCGCTAAACAACCTTCCCCCGTTTTATGTAATACTGCTTTAAGATATATTTTAATAAAATGAAGGGAAAATCACTTTCGTAACTTAACCGACGCTATCTCATGGGGATTTTATTCGTAGCTTAGCAACCCATGTAGACCATGGAACGTGGGGTGATGGATTAGTGGTTAAAGTACTCGGCTTTTAGATAATGGGTCCTAAGTTTGAGCCACTACATCACGTACTTAGACTCTAGAAGTTAGGTAGAATTATACTTAAAGTCCTGTATACGAAGATGCACTCGGTAATTGAGTTACGTAAAACCCGAGTATGGCATCACCTAAGTAGTGAAAGCCAAGTAGACGCATTAATGTAGATGAGGTCGTAACTAAACTAAAATTACCCTTGGTACTTTCAGTTAACTGTGATTGATTCTTACTTAATAACCGAGTGTGGGTTCATGTACTACGCTGGACTGAGATTCAGTTAAAATATCAGACTTCTTAAGCCAAAATAAAGACAGATTTATGACTTCATAAATAAAACACTTTTAGATGGTTGACTTATATATTTGAAAACAGTGAGTGCTAAAAGAAACGTTTAATGAACTTATGATTGAAACAGCCAATATGGATTATGATGTCTGGGTTTTCTGCAAAAAGAGTAAGTTACTTACCTTATCAGGTTAATGTAGTTAGGATGCTACTACCAAATTCATGTATACATGTTTTGTTAAAATGTACAGCAGGTAGGACTGCTATAAACCCGTTTACTTTATTGTTCGAAATAAACCGGATGCTTAGGGTATCAACCACTTTGTAAGTCACTGAAGAATTTGTAAGCGTCTTTCTGACAGAGGTCAAAAGCTAAGTCATATACGTACCAAACACCTGTCCCAATTTTGGTTGTTAGTGAAAGATAACACGGTGTATATCACAGTGCATATAGATATCACGAAATCTGTATTGTATGTAGGCCAAGAAAACAAATAAAACCATTCTATAGAAAATAATCACCTTGAAGTAGATCAACAATAAATCTTAACAACTTCCTGATTTTCCAACGATATCTATGTGACCTTCCAAATATTATGAATTCCACAGAACAGCAAGATTAGTGGCATGGTTAACTGGTGATAAGAAATTGGTTAGCTTATTGTTTGCACAAAACCTTAAGTGCTAAACAAGCGAAATACTACATTTATCAACAGACTGGACGAAGATAAATATATTAAAGCATACAAGTGTTGGAAGGGTAGATAATTGCATAACGACATTATAGTACCAAAATTTCCTACTCATATATCGGCAAAAGAAACATACCTTTTCGAAGATCCAGCTTTAGTTCTTTGTTTTGAAATCTTGAACCGGATGGAGTAATAGAAGGAAGAGCTTTACGTTTTGTCTGTCCGATGCACACGCTTGCAGACCTCCCTTCCTTTGCAAATGCTGACAGGAATGTGAAGAGCTAAAATGTTTCGGTTAACAATTAGATATCTTACTGTCTGAATAAGTTGGGATTGCTTGTCGTGATGTTCTCGTAAATCAGAAATTTCACGATACAAAAGCTGATTTTCCGACTTTAACACACTAATTTGTTGACTTAAAGCCTCCTGATTACAACGCAAGTGCCGTACAGTCTCTGCCAATCTTAAGAAGTCTGTGGCAGTTATTGGTCTTTGGGGTGATATACTTATGGAACCATTTAAACCCGAATTAGTTTGAACATAAGGTACTTTCACACCAAAACTTTGATTTCTTGACCCCAGTATTGGCGAGAACATGTTTGAGGTCCGCCTCTGAATTTTGGATAGCAAAATATCTTTATTGCGGATGAAGTAAGGATGACTGAATTCCATGTCTTCAGTGTCAGATTTTAAAGGAAGAGACGGATCCACACGATTTATTTTTCTAAAACCATCTACAAAGAAACTGAGAAAAGATAATCACATACACATATTTAACTGCCTTATGAAACTAGATAAATTGTTGTGTTTGAAATAAAGGGGTAGTAATTCTTTGGCTAAGCGGTTTCCATCACGTATGTGAAAGCTTGTCCCGTGCTGAACGAAGTTATTAATTAAACCTAATCTTACCGGATCCCAATATATGAGATCGTTTGTTTCCTCATCATCCACCAGTAACTTTAGTTTAGTCAGAAACGCAGGAATAGACTGTACAGGAGGTCCAGATGTGAAACCATACATGGCCTACAAACATGGAGAAGTTTAATATTCCCTCACTGACAGTCAGCCAATCAAAAGCTTTGTGTTGGTACAATACAATAATTCAAATCAGTTTCAGTTTGGGCGTTCTTTCAGTTAATCCAACGCCGTTTCCAATGCGTTGACGGATGAAACTCCAACCAATTGTTGATGCAAAAAGTTCAATTCTTTGATTATTCGATGGGAAAGTCGATAGTCAGATGACAAGTAATCCGTTCTGGGCTTGTGAACGTCTCAATTGTCCTCGCAAATTCTTTTTTAAAGACAAGGAAAATCATGGCATACCAGATGCAAATTTACCATCAAATAGTTTAACAACTGTGATCATATCACTCCTGATACAACAAAAGAAAATGGTCTTGTAGGGCCAGTGAAATGTCACTGAGCCCTAGCCAAATCATCCGGCAGTTGGATCACTGAATGTCGAACAGATCGTCGCTCCCTGCCAAGGTCATGTACTACAAACGCGCATTAGTTAATCATACGCCATGGACTGGCCCATGCGACAGTGGTCTTACTTTCGCTTGTATCTACTTTAATTAATATATTTCTGTAATAACGTCCTTTGTGTTGTACAGTCTTCAAAGCATCTATAGTACTTTGTTACGTCAATGGGGGTAGTCCACGTAAGGTGCTGACCACGAGGTGTGACTTCGACGTTAGTTGGTTCGTCACACTATTCACGTCTAAGTCGAGTAGGCCACCAATCATTTCGACGTAGATCATCTACGTTGGTGATTTACAGTCTAATTAGGTCAGTTTCTCGTCATACGAGGGCTTTATGATTGCAGAATCAACTTAATTGAGGTTCTCCAAATCTTTCCCGACAGTTTACTATCATTTTTAGCCAGGTTCTGGATGCATATATTTATTACTCTAGTTTAAGATGAACGAACACCGTATACCGTGTCAAAGACTTCATAGTAAAGGCTCAGAGTAATGACCAGAGGATCCTAAGACCTGTGGCAGCCAATGAGCGGGAGATTACAGTGTGTTTTGAGTCTTGGATAACGTGGATTCTTAGGTCTGTACCTTGATGACTGTAGCGATAAATAAATCCCCAAAATCAATAGCTCTGTAAGTCTTCGACATTTGGTGCTGACCACATTCGTTTTACTGGACTCACTCGGCCTAAGACGCTCGGCCACGCATACGAACAAGATAACAAGTGATTCTGCTGTGCTCAACTTCTCCTGCAACCGCTAGCCAATTTAGATCAGTCACTTCTCGATAAATTGATAACCTGTCGAATATACCTTCGAACCTCTTCGCTTTTGACTTCATTGGGGTGGTATGTTTTGATTATATTAGATGTTCGTAACGGAAAGAGAACAATGAAAATCCCTCCCCAGCTATCTTGTTGGACAGTGCCGTCATTTATTTGTTCCTTCTCCCTGTCGTGTATTTTAACATTTGTTCAGGTCTCGCTTAACCATATTTTTGTTCTTCAGTCTTCCTCGCCTGAGCTTTTATTACGTGATTTTGGTAAAAGACTTATCTTTTGTTGCCTAATTTTTATTGTATGTTGTGTTTGACTAAGCTCAAGGTCACGGCATGGTTCAGTGTGTGACAGATAACCTTTTGACTGTCTCCTGGGGAGGATTGCTGGAATCCCTGCAGATAGATATTTGATCCCATCTTGTTGGGATTATTTTTATTGATTATCACGTACCAAACCCTTTAGTATTAACTGCTTCTTTTATTATTTAGTGCGCTACTTTGCGTTAGAGAAACCTTTGACTGTGTTTTTTATATAATTTGTTCTATTTCCTAAGTTAGAAACGTCTAAATTGAGCACACGATTTGTGTTTTGATATAATTTAACACGAGTGTCTCAAAAATACTTGGTAAACTATACAAAAGGTCGTAGTCTGGCCTATTCGAATACATTTATGTTCGTCAGTCCTGCGTTCAAACCGAATACTGGCAGTTCGGTCGTTACAATGTTACTGGTTAAGGTGTTGTCAAACTCCACACACTTGTGACATCTTCACGACCAATATGCATAATAATGGGCTTGGGAGCATTTGTCGGCAAATTCCAAGTCGTAGACCATTCAAATTATTTCCACGAGTCATTCATAAGGTTTAAATCGCCATCTTCATTTTTTATCGCTCACCGTATCATTAGATCATGCCAAAACCGATGATGATAGGAGACTACGAAAGTCACTTACATACAGGAGGAGTAGAAGTAGTCCTAGAACTGTACCCTAAGGCACCTTGCTAAGCAAAGTTTACAGGCCTAAAGATGCCACAGTTATTTGAACTTTGAAAACGCCCTTGAGTGTTAACCATTTATGATCATAGGATGTCATCCCAGTAAAGTCGAAAGTCAGGGATGAAGGGGCTCAATGGTACATTCGGAAAGCAATCGGTACATCGAAAAGAGTTTGATCTAAGCAGGCTAGTAGTTGCAAGGGATTGGTATTACAGCGTACCCACTAGGTCTCTGGTGTGAATGGGTGACTGAGCTCCTTCAGCTGGGGTGTGTCCAGTAGGACTAATGGGGTCAGCACCGATGTTGAGGACTTGAAAACTTATTTACTTTGAAAATTCATCTACCTCTGCAGGCTAAAATTCTAGTAGCTTACTCGCACTCTTTGTTGACACTGAGTTAGGAAGTTTTGATCAACATGAGTAAGTTTCCCCCAATCCTAATAAATTAGATGACGGTTTGTTGTGAGGAGCTTTTTCAAAGGCCCTTCTGAAATCAATGAAAGCCACATCTATAAGTGGCTCTTGATCTTTTAGAGTACATCAACTTTGATAGGTTTGATAGGTTTATGAGGCATGAGCAACTTGTTTTAAAGCCATGCTGCTAAAAAAACAGTTTTTTGGTATAGATATTTAGACAACTCCTTTTCAATACTATTTTCTAGAGTCTCGACAGGCACTCTGCTTGAGCATGTGGGCTGGTGGTTCTCGGGTTCATGATTCATACCTGTTTTCAAGATAGGACATCGTATGACGTTCTTCTACGCCTTTGATAATCACCTTAGGTTATAGATAAAATAAAACATATGCTGAAGGGACTTGTGACACCATTCTCGTAATGAGTAAATACGGGACCTAGTAATGATGACTTGAACATCAGGTCGTACATAATTACTGTTTTTACATGCTACACCAGGGCACGTGCAATAACCACATCAACTAGCTTCCGTTTGAAAGAATTTTTATGGTCTATGAACCTTAGGATTAAACATCGACAACACGATGATCAAGTGTTAAGTCCATCTAGCAGGATCTCATTCACCTCACAGGTTGGACTGGGGCAAATCAAACCAATCGGCAGCTCTTGTTCGTTGGATTTCACGCGGCAAATGACTAATTTGCACATTCCGTTTCCATGGAATTTGTTATTGATAATTGTAAGGGAGGCAGTATTTATAATGGATAAGGCTACTTCTTCATGTTTCTGGATTCTGTTGGCCCTCAATGGTGTGAAAAATTTAAAGTCAAGTACGATGTTACCTATAGACTGAGTTAAGCAACTTTCACTGACGAGGACTACCTCCGACCTGATCAAATCTGTCTGTATACTTACCTTCGATTGCTCGGTGAGAATGCCACGAAGATTTGTGCAACAGGTTCGGAGACCATTTAAGCAGATTCGTGCTGGATCCAAATCGACTTCGGTATCATTCTCTGCCTAAACCTAACCACCCGAAAATCTACAATATTAGGGTCCTTTTCGTCATTATCTGATCATAGTTTTAGTTCGTTTTTAGATTCTCGTTGTCTCATCTGATCAGCGAGTGACAAGTATTTAAGGACAGGAACTCCTGACCCCTTTAGTCAACTGTCGTAAACGGAATAGAAGCTTTCTGTTCACGAGCTTCTGTGTCTGGTAGTAGTAGATCACCGATGCCTCCATGTAGTAAGTTAAGTATACGAAACAAGCAGGAGTAATCGACGTTCAGCTAATTTGGTGGATACTACCGTTTCGCATCCTTGGGAGTACTTCACGTATCCTCTTGAAGGACTTCAGAGACGTTGCTTAAATCATATCATTTGGTAGTGGATTCCAAGACTTGACTACTTGCAACCAGTTTATGGTGTGCTTTCTATCCACTCTTCTGTGCTATGCCTTTGAATTCCGTATATTTCCGCTGCGGTTCTTGTTGAAACCAAGCTTAAACAAGTCTTCTAGAGGATACTCTGTGGTCTTTAGGGTGTTGCATGTCATCTAAATACCCTTCTTATTCCCCTATATTCTAAAGGGTAACGATTTAATTATTCAAGGCGTTTCACAGAAGGTTTGGGCTTCAGCCGACGAACTGATTTCATTATTCGCCTTTAGATATGATCCAGAGTATTATTTTCCCTTCGGAGTGAGGGAGAAATACCTGTTTCACTCAGCTTTTGAACCTGTTTATTTATATCTTTGACCTAGGATATTTCGGTTTCACTCTGTTTCTTGGTTTGGTATTTTGGAAGCTTTGTTTCTGGAAACCTGAAAGTTGAATGATTGTTTTTTTATTGTTATGATTATTGTTAGAACAATATATGTGGGTTAATTAGTTATAATTTGCGAATAAACTTTGGAGCCTGAATTGAAATTTGATTCGATTGTTATTTAGGGTAGATTAACCGACTGAACGACAGCAAAGACTTGGGCGTAACACTACTATACTCCAAATGGGGTCGAATAAAAGTGCTAAACTGGTCAAAAATGAACTTCAAAGTTACTGATGCATGGTGCTTTACAGTTGAATTCTTTCTGCAGTTGGCATAAAGTGTTAGATCACAGGATATTAAAATACCTAGATATTTTTTAAATGATGACACTCCCAGAGGGTAATCAAATAGGTGTTATGTGTAGGTTTAACGTATCTTGGATGGGTTGCTTTACATTTGGAAGAACCAAAAGAAAGATTTTTACCACTCACACAAATTTGGAGTCAAATGGTATCCCCCCAAATTGTCATGTCATCGTTCCGGTTACAAGTTTCGCCCTAGAGATTAGTACCACCAGTA